TAATGGCGGACGCCCCTCCCCCACGGAGCTGCACTTTAAGGGAACCTCCTCACCGGGAGCATTTGGAATCGCCGTTTTGTTTTTTGCACTGTGCTACCTTTAACGCTGTGTCTCTGGGATTTCCTGGGCTGGCTCACTGACCAAGTCTTGTTCAGTCTCAAGTTCAGCCCTCTCAGGTCTCAGTTAGTCAGTTCAACAGGGGACTAGTAACAGTGCGCTTTTGTATGGAGTGCTGTGGAGCGCCTCTGCGCTCTGGTGAGGGTTGGAGCCACTCCAGCTGCCGGCTACACCAGCCAAGACCTCTGTCTGGCGTCCCGCGTCTCTTTTATACCTGGGCATTTCCCCGTTCTGTGTGCAACTAAGATCCATCTGGAAATGCGTCTTCGACTCACCCTCTCCACGCATCCAGCGACAGCTTCAATCCTGGGTTGTTCTCAATGCGCCATCTTGAGTCCTCCCAGTATGTTTGTTTTTTATAAAAAATCTCTTTGAATAAATTGAGAATAAATTGTGGTAGGTTGCAAAAAAGTGGCCACATTTCTACTTTTTAAAAATGCTTAACCATGCAAATATATTTTCTATGTGGAAATTAAATGTACCTTTAAAAAAGCATAGTTCTTTCTCATCCCCACCTTATCTTATTTGAATCTTCATAATGTTACTAAAGTACACTTCTATACATAGCTATTTCATCTAAAATCTAAGTTTTTAAGACATCGTGTCTATCAACAAGTCTAAATATCTTCACTATCAAAACACATGTCAAGTTCTTTGAATTATTCTTACTTCTATCTCCATCTCTCACTCTCCATCAGGCCAAGTTACCAGCATCATCTTTTGTACCTGGTACTGCAACATCTTCAAACTGTTCTCCTTGCTCCTGTACTTGCTTTACTCAAATCCATTCTCCACACAATAGCCAGAACGACCTAAATATTTCAGTTGTCAACATTATAATTGCACACTGAGAATAACCACCAAATGCCACGTGCTGGATAACATCAGCCTACCTTTGTAATGTTGCCTTATGCTTTTCCTTCTTATGCTCACCATTTCCTCATCACCATGGTCTCCTTCCTGTGCCTTAATGTACCAGCTAAATCCTCTTCCACAGTCTGCATTCTTGCTCTTCACGTTGCCTGAAATGCCCTACCCTAGTCATTCAAACTCATCTTAAGTGTCAGCTCCTCAGAGATAACTTTCCTAACTATCCAATCTAGAATGACACCCTCCTTCCCTCATTCACCCTCCAAGACAATCTTCTGTTATATTCTTCGATTCTCCCACATTTTATTATCTTTTTTTTTGTTGTTGTTCTTTGTCTGACTCCCTCCACTAGAATGTCAAATCCCTGTGACTAAGGACATTATATATAATAATCAGTGGCTAATTACTTACCTATGTAATAAGTTTTCCAAATGAGAAACACCCAAAACATTTTGTAAAGTAATACATTTTCAACTCAGTAGATGAGAAAACATCGAAGGAAGTTTTTGACACTTTCTCAAAAAACAGAGCCATCATGATTGGAACCAGGACTGCAAACTTGTCTTTTGAGTTCCCGTGTTGTGCTGCTTTCACCACAAATAGATGCCTTGTTTAGAAAGCCAGTTCAGGCCAATCAAAGATACATCTATTAAAACACACACACATTTATGCAAATATACATCTTTCTTTTTAATAGTATAAAATTGCCTAAGATAAAAAAGTGTTTTCAGCAGAGGGGAAAGAGCAACAACAACAAACAGGTAATAAAATGTGGGAGAAAGAAAGAATATAACAGAGGGATGTGCACTAGTTAATATAGCAGTTAAAATATCTTCTTCTAACTAATACTAAAGCATTGTTGTCAATATTGAGAGGTGACATTCCTGAGAAGTCTGTAATTAAATAAAACAAAACTGAAATAAAAATAAAAAATAAAAACAAAAGAATATTCATTTTCAAAAATATCTTTACTGCTTCCTTTTTTCTTCTCTCTCTGCCCCTTCTCCTCTCTTTTTCTTTCTTTTTTCTTTCTAAACCTGTGTGTATGGCTTTGTGGTACATGCATCTCTGTGGGTATTGTTTCTCTTTCTTTCCATCTTTTCTCCTATTTTTTTTTATGTGTGCTTTTCCTTTTTCTTTTTTTTTGCCTCTGTTCTCTTGTTTGTAATTATTTTATAGTTTTAACTTTCTGTCTTTCTGGGAATAGCTTTCACTCAAAGAAAATGGTATATGTTTGAAGCTGCAGCACAGATTATAATAGGAAAGAAACCTGCTAAAATGTTATCTACCTCTCTTCATTTTCTTGCACTTTTAAATGTCTCCCACAGGATCTCTGGCTGATTTGAGCATAAATGTGAATAAAAGTATACTTGACTGTGTATTAAATTTGCTTTATTAAAGTTCGGTATTTTAATTTAAATGTGGCTCAGAGGGATGGCATCTTCCTTTTTAATGTGTTACAAAAAAACCTTACATTGATTTTTTTGATTAAATATTTTTATGTTATATTATTTTTATGTTATATACTATACATTTTATATTATTTCATGAAAACCCAGAAAGATCATTATGCTATAGCAAGACTCAGGATCCACATATTCAAAAAAAGCTATAATACAATAGAGTATTTCTTCTTTTACTTGAGAGGCACACCCCCTAGAGGAACTGGTCCACGAGATTCCATAAAATTATTTTTATTTAAAGACAAACCTTGAAATAATAATTTAGATGTACTGAGTTAAATAAAGCATTATAAACATTGAATTGACTAATTACATTAATTATTTTGTAATGAATAAATTCTGAATGAATAAAAAAATGAATAAATACATCAACTAAATACATTAATCATTTTGCCTAATAAATGTATGTGCCATTCCATTATCACTGTCACTGATAAAATGCCAAATTCAAAACCCTAACATGACTCATTGAGATATTCATTGGCATATGTTTTGAATATTTAATCTTTAAAATGTTCTTGTAAATTAGTTCAACCATTGTGGAAGACAGTGTGGCAATTCCTCAAAGACCTAGAAAGAGAAATTCCATTTGACCCAGCAATCCCATTACTGGGTATATATCCAAAGGACTATAAATTGTTCTACTATAAGGACACATGCACACGAATGTTCATTGCAGCACTGTTTACAATAGCAAAGACCTGGAACCAACCCAAGTGCCCATCAATAATAGGCACTGGAAAAATGTGGCACATATACACCATGGAATATTATGCAGCCATCAAAAACGATGAGTTCATATTCTTTGTAGGGACATGGATGAATCTGGAGAACATCATTCTCAGCAAACTGACACAAGAACAGAAAATGAAATACTGCATATTCGGACTCATAGGCAGGTGATGAACAATGAGAACACATGGACACAGGGAAGGGAGCACTACACACTGAGGTATATTGGGGGGAATAGAGGAGGGACAGCAGGCGGGGGAGCTGGAGAGGGATAGCATGGGGAGAAATGCCAGATATGGGTGAAGGGGAGGAATATAGCAAATGACATTGCCACATGTGTACCAATGCAACTATCTTGCATGTTCTGCACATGTACCCCAAAAACTAAAATGCAATTAAAAAAAAAGCACACAAAAAGGAAACAAAAAATGTTCTTGTCTCTCTTTGTCTAATTCTAGTTGACAGACCAATAATTCCCATTGGTAGAACTCTGCAGACTTCAGGTAGCGGTAAAACCCCAAAGCACATTCTCTATTGCCTTAATTACATTACAAATGAATAGATTTCAGAATGTGTAATATTCTGACATGAGAACATATATTTAAGGACAAATTGTGAAATAATGAGCTAATCTCCCCTTTATCAGACAGAAAATAATAGCTTGTTTGAGAGTAGCGATGGGTTCCCAGCAAGGTAAATTTTATATAGTTCTTTATATTTAAATGAAATAGAGAAAAAGAAAAATAATTGAAGCACATTTATACCATTTTTCTTGGTTATCTGCTGCCTCAGAATTTCTGAGAACAGAATTATGCTGCAGAAAGTAAGGGTGATTTCTAAATTCAGGTGTTCAGCACTTTCTACCCTGTTTCTCAAATAAACTTCCTACTATGTTGAATGTTTAGTACTATTTTAAAGGTACTAAAGTTTTAAATTCTATTATTATTTTAAAAATAAAAATACCAATTGATTATGGACATTTACCACCTGGATTTCAATTTGTACATAATGCAAATGATTGATTTCCTCTTTATCCAAAACCAAATGTAAAAAGGAGGAAGAGATACGGAATCACATCTGTCAAAAGGGTAGGCTGAGTCTCAGAGACAAACTTCATTGACTCCACAAGTTTGGAAACCTCTGGTTCCCACAGTCAGTTACATGTGTTTCTTCACCTGCACAGGGCCCTTATATCTAGCAGTACATACTTAAGACTGAAAGAATGTAGCCAAATGAGAGAAATAAGGAGAATGATAAGAAAGAAAGCAAAGAAGGAGGAAAAGAAAGGGATTAGGAAAATAAATTGCAAGAAAAAATGGAGAAGAAAGTGACAGAAAACACAAGCTAAAGGCAAATATAAAGGAATAATTGTTGTAAATGAGTGTATGAAGATAGAATTAGCAGGAAGAGAATGGACAAAGATGGGAAATAAGCAAGAAGCAAGAGAAAGGAATGGGGAAAGAGAAGGGAGTGAGCTGCTAGTATGGTGGTCAGGTCTCTAAACACTTGGCTTCAGGAGCTGATCTGAGAGCAGTTTGGAATTGAAGTATGCATAGTGTTGCCTGCAGATGCTTGCTGCTCTGTAATCTAGAAGGAGTTGTGGGGGACAGTATGGGGACCCTCTCTACTTATGCATCTTTGATATAAAAGGAGTTTAAAAAAATCTGTTGAAATAATAAGGAAGGTTAGAGATGGTGACAATCATTCAGGTTTCTGTCTTGGCCTACACTGACAGCGCTTCTTTGTCCTGTGTAACTAGATCATGAAGTTTGCCCATGAGAGATCCATTGTTTCATGCTTTTTTTTTCAGGAACTCATTTTGTACAGAGGAAGGCCCATCTGATGCATATCTGTCCTCCATCACTGATGAATGCAATTTGGGAATTACCGGGACAGAAGGTACATAAATGAGAATGAAAGAAAGAAGAAGAATGGATTAAAGATGTTAAGTAATATGGAATTTCACCTCTTAGTTAACAGACAATAGAGGTGAATAGTAGAAAATAAAAGCAAAGGAAGAGTGGGAGAAGCTGAAACTCTCAGGTGTTCTCTGTGTCTTGGAATCCTCAACCTGGAGAAGCATGAGATAATTAACTACAATTGAGTATTTGGAATGGACAAAAGGTAGGAGTAGGGGAGGGAGATTCTGACTTAAGTTCTTAAGACCAGGTTTCTGTAGGCAGAGCAAGGTATGAATGTGCCAGCCAAGAGATGTCTAAGTGGGTAAAAAAGAAAAGGAAATGCCAAAACTAATTTGAAGAACACTAGAATACTTTTTTCCAATTTTGGTTTTCTTAGATTCACTAGGTGTGTATTTATGCAAGTGTGAATATGTATTTGGAATGCACAAATATGTGCCCATGTGTTGTAAGTACTTGTTCCATAGCATGTGCTGCTAGTTACGAATATTACTAATCACATACAACAAATGTTCTGATGTATTCTAATAGCTGTGCTGTAAAATGCCAATATATAACCTATTTCATTTCCTATGAATTTTCTTTATGGATTCTTAAGGCTAATTTTTCTTTATTCTTTTCCTCCCTTCTCTCTTTCTAGTTCCTCTTTCTAGTAATTTCTGTCAAATTTCAATTAGTAATTTATCTCCTCCAGCCCTCCTCCCCCACATTTTGAAGCACTGCTTAAAAAAAAAGTTGTATTGAAATATAATCAGCACATTACAAAATTCACCATTTAAAGTGTACAAATTCAATATTTTAAGTATATTTACAGAGTTTGTGCAAGCATCAACATGTTGTAGCATGTATCAATACTTTTTTATTGTCACATTGCATGATATTGTATCCACAGAACTTTTGAAAATAAATATTGTATGTAATCAAAAGTTAAGGGTAACATTTGTAGCATTTTGTTATAATTAGCAATATTTTATCTTTGAAGTCATTCATTCCAATGTGAAACATGTATGGTATCATCACATGTATTTATTTATAAAATGTTTTACAATCATCTCAACATAATAATTAAAATATAATCACAAATATATTTTGAAAAACATAGTTTATGATAATGTGGAGAAAATTCCATTACTTTTATGCACTCCAATGGATAATCTTATATATCTCCTTGGGTGAACACATCTAAGTTTGGAGATTAGTATACAGATAAACCTTAATTCTGGATTTCTCTAACATGAATAGAATACATATTTTAAAAAAGGTACGGCCAGAAAGGGGGAATATTTAGACATGCAGCATTATATTTACTTAAGTGCCTAAATAAAATATTGCGAATTGATAAGACACTAAATAATTTTGTAAAAAGTGTAAACTGAGGAATAAACACCTGCTTTCTTCCATCACTTGCTAATGAGAGAAAAGAAAACTCATGGCAAGTTTAAAACTTGTCTGCAATTGCATTTTTTTCATCTCTCAAATGAGTACCTCAGATTATAGGTTCATATGGCCATTTCCAGCTCTACTATATTTTAATTTTATTATTTGAGATAGTAAAAATCTTTTACATATTCTGATAAATTTTGCATTATGAAAAAATATTTGTGGAAAAAATATCATTTGACTGTCAGTCTGAGATCTTAAGAAGAAGTAGGTTATGGATACACAGAGAGCAGGTGTAACTAAATTAGTATTAGCTAGTATTAACTAGAACTCAGCCAAGGCTGTAACTAGGGAATTCCTCCAAGTTAAGAGAAATATACAGATTTTGCCTGCTATCCTGGTGACCAGTTTGAAGTAAGAATGTACAAGGGCACCAAAGCAGAACAATGTGATTGCAATAACAAGAAAGAAACAGATTTAGAAACTAGTCAGGTAACAACCAGAAGCCAAGAATTCCACAGGAACTGAGAGAGAGAAGCAACTGTGAAAGCACTTTATTCTGTGACAGGAAGAAAAGGGACTAAAACCTAGCGACTAATCTAACAGAGATAGTGGACCACCACTAACAGCAACAAAAACAAAACAGACAAACTTGATCATGCTTAACTTTTGCTTAAATCAGACAACTTTTAATATTCTTCAAGCAAAGTAGCCTGGAATCCTATGGGAGTGCGGTTATCCAAAAGTATGGGGTTCAATGGGCATAAAAGTGTGGCCACAGAAAAATTTGTATTTTATTTTAGTGAGAAATAAAGAGGATGAAGGATAGAAGGGTTAACCCAGTATACAAGACAGTTATGAGGCATAAGTTGTCTTCGACTACACTATGTTGGTTGCCACGAATAATGTTCTTATCTAAAGAGGAGACACAAAACAGATGAGAAGGTGGTTACACCAGATAACACTTTGCCTTGTTTTATTCTGCAGAGTTAGAAAAGATGGAAACAGAGAATCTCACAGTGGTGACAGAATTCATCCTTCTTGGTCTGACCCAGTCTCGAGATATTCAACTTCTGGTCTTTGTGCTAGTCTTAATTTTCTACCTCATTATCCTCCCTGGAAATTTTCTCATCATGTTCACCATAAGGTCAGACCCAGGGCTCACAGCCCCCCTCTATTTCTTTCTGGGCAACTTGGCCTTTCTGGATGCATCCTACTCTTTCATTGTGGTTCCCAGGATGCTGGTGGACTTCCTCTCTGAGAAGAAGGTAATCTCCTACAGAGGCTGCATCACTCAGCTCTTTTTCTTGCATTTTCTTGGAGCTGGAGAGATGTTCCTTCTTGTTGTGATGGCTTTTGACCGCTATATCGCCATCTGCCGGCCTTTACGCTATTCAACTATCATGAACCCTAGAGCCTGCTATGCATTACTTTTGGCTCTGTGGCTTGGGGGCTTTACCCATTCCATTGTACAAGTAGCCCTTATCCTGCACTTGCCTTTCTGTGGCCCAAACCAGCTCGATAACTTCTTCTGTGATGTTCCACAGGTCATCAAGCTGGCCTGCACTGATACCGTTGTGGTGGAGCTTCTGATGGTCTCCAACAGTGGTCTGCTCAGCCTCTTGTGCTTCTTGGGTCTTCTGGCCTCCTATGCAGTCATCCTCTGTCGTATAAGGAAGCACTCCTCTGAAGGAAAAAACAAGGCTATCTCCACATGCAGCACCCATATTATCATTGTATTTCTCATGTTTGGACCTGCTATTTTCATCTACACTCGTCCCTTCCAGGCTTTCCCAGCTGACAAGGTAGTTTCTCTTTTCCATACAGTCATCTTTCCTTTGATGAACCCTGTTATTTATACACTTCGCAACCAGGAAGTGAAAGCGTCCATGAGGAAGTTGTTAAGTCAACATATGGTTTGCTGAACAGAAGAATGAGAAAAGCAAGAAAGGAGAAAGTCCAGTTGAATTTAGCTAAATCATTATTATCTCATTAATGCATTAAATTAGTCATTTAGCAAATATTATAATTATTAAGCACTTCCCATTTTCAGGCACTATTCTAGGCACATGAATGAGATAGGTAAAATTCCAGGTCTCTTAGATTTACATTCAAGGGGAAAAATACAAGTTAAACTTTTAAATTTTAAAAACAACTATAGTGTCAGAAAGAAACAGTGTTCTGTAGCAAGCAAAAAGTGGTATTATGCTACTGATTATCTGGGGAGGTGGTAATTACTTTCTTTACTTTTGGTTGACAAGTCAGGTCTCGAGTGGTGTTTAGCTGATACCAAGATGATTTGAAAGTAACAACCATGTAATTATCCGGGGACAGAAATTCTAGGCAAGAAGGATGACTAGAACAAGAATCCAAAGATCTTATGAGCTTGTTATATTTGATGACCTTAAAAATGAAGAGTAGTTGTACTTAGTTAGTGAATGTGAAAATGGCACTAATTGAAGTCGAAGAGTTTGGTAGGGGCAAAATTATGCAGAGCATTTTCATCGATAAGTTCAATTTATTCAGATTTCAAAAGGAGATTCTTGAAAGACAAGCAGCAGAGTAACTCTCTAATGTTTCCTATTTTACTTAAGGGAAGATCTTCGAGATTCTGATTACAGAAGTATGAGTAGTAAAATATCATTAAGTAGAAAGTACATGCTGCTAAGTATTTTTTATGTATGTCAACACTTAAAAGATCTAATTATTTTTTCTAATTTGATAGAGAGAAAAAATAAAAGCTGTTATATTGTACTGGAAACTGTCAAAAGACAATCTAACTATATATTTTGAAGTTTTGTAGTGTTTTGTGGTTATTCCTAATGGATTTTTTTTTAATGTTAGAGAAAAGCTTGAGTTCACTTACAAATTATTTCATCCTCAATGCAACGATGGTAGTTATATAAGTTATTATTTGGTTACAGATAATCACTCTGATGATTTGAATAAGCATATATAAGGCATTCAATACTTACAAATCATTGAAGAACTATAAGACCAGGCTGTAAACTTGGCATACTAAAATAAATTTCTAAACATTACCATTAATTTCAAATATTTTAAGTTCTACAATTTACATTTACTTCTTTTTATGGATTCTAATTTTCTGGTGAAATTTGCTATCTTTTTATCTATTACATTAAAAAATAAAATGAAGGAAGTGTGAATAGAGATTATAAAATTTAAGGTTTCCATTTTAAGTAGGGATGTCTAATAGAACTATTCCTAGTGAATGCAGTAATCATTTTTTTAACTGCCAGTTCCAGGATTACAGCATTTGAATAATTAGCCTATGATCAGGAAATTACTCAGCAATTGCTCTAGTCCTATTAGACATCCCTGTTGGAAACCTCACATTTTGTAATCTTTATTCCCACTTCATTTCATTCTTTAATGTTTTTAAACTGTTATTATTATTGCTAAAGCCTACATAACTCAATGGTTTCTCACCCAAGTATTAACTAGACCCAATCCTTCTTAGCTTCTGAGATAGGCATGATCAGGCACATTCACTCCCTTCATTTCTAAACTTAAATCTTGCATAAGTGAATTAGAAGTCCTGAGAATACATCGGAGTCTGATTTTAAACCTGGCAGAGACTGACTGAGTCTTATGAAAATGGAAAATCAGCTTCAACTCCACAAAACCTTTATTTAAATTAAGGAAGGGTATCTTAACTTTGGCATTATTGGCATTTTGGACCAAGTAATTATTTGTTGTAGAAGCCTGCCCTGTGCATTTTAGGTTGTTTAGTGGCATTCCTGACCTCTACTTACTAGGTGCCAGGAGCATTTTCTTAGTTGTAACAACCAAAAATATCTTTACATATTACCAAATGTCCCCTAAAAGGCAAATTTTCTACAATGAGGAACACAGCATTGAGGGGATTTCCTTCTACTGTACCAATCTTGTAGTGAGATGCATGAAGTTTCCTTGCAAGAAGTAACATGAACTAGAGCCTATACTACTTACAATTTTCAATAAACAATATCCACAACTTAATAAAAATTTTCAAAATAAAGAACAAAAAGATAAATAACTGGAATATAACCAGAGTCTATCCAGAGTATGAAAGTGAATTACAGTAACATTATAATAACTGTGTTCAAGACAGTAGAAGAAAAAGTGTAATAAATAAATAAAAGGATAGCAAATTTCACCAAAGAATTAGAATCCATAAAAGGAAGTACATGAAGATTGTAGGACAAAAAAATTGAAATTAGAAATTCATTAGATGAGTTTAAAATCGTACTAAACATAGGAGAAGACTAAAGAGTGTGTTGGATGGTAAATCAATAAAAATACTAAAATTAAAAATGCAAATAGAAAAAATGGAAAAATACAAGAAAGAGTATTAGAGATATGTGAGATGCAGTAAAAATGTCATATAGATGCTTCAATTACATATATATGTAATTATATATGTAATTGAAGTCCAAATGAGAAAGATGAAATATTTGAAGAATGGATTACTAAGAACTTTTAAAACCCAATAAAAGACAACAAGCTGCAGAAAAAGAAACACACTGTGAACCACAAGCAGAATAATCAACAAAAAAGCCCTACACACATAGACATAGGACAAAAAAAAAAAAAAAAAAAAAAAAAAAGAAAAAGAAAGAATCTTAGAAGTAGCTGGGATGAGTGACTTTCCATTAGTTTAAAGGGAACAGATAAATTTCTTCATAAAAGAAACATGAAATTCAGAGAAAACTGGAAAAACATCTTTAAATTGCTGAAAGAAGATAATATCAACCTAAAAGTCTATCTGAGATAAAGTAAGTAATTTAAATAAAGATGAGATAAAGACATCTTATGACAAATGAAAAGGAGAAAATCTGTTGCCTAATAGCTTTTTATAAATAAATTTTAATAGCAGTTCTTCAAATAAAAGGAAAGAATCCTGGAGAAAAACACTAAATTAACAACAACAAAAAAAGCAGCAGACTGGTAAATAAGGTGGCATATGTAAATAAGTATACAATGAATATTGACTATACAAACAATAGTATGATGTCTTATGGAATATGCTATAGATACATATATACACATATATATTTATAGATATGCATCACAATAGTTGTGAAAAAATGAAAAATGACTATACAAACAATAGTATGATGTCTTATGGAATATGCTATAGATACATATATACACATATATATTTATAGATATGCATCACAATAGTTGTGAAAAAATGAAAAAAATATAAAAGTATTCTGTGATTCTAATATAAGAAGACATTTAGTAAAGCTAATAAAGTGATTAGACTATAATAAGTCAAGAGTTCATGTTGCAACCTTTAGGAAGTTACCTATATAAAGAATAAAGTAATTTATAACAGTTATAAGATTATTTTGCAAAAAAAGAAACAAAGATTATTTGCAAGAACAAAGAGAAAATACAGTGCATAAAATTCAAAAATAAGATTGTAGCTAGAATGGCAGATATATCACATTCTACATTAAAAATAGATACAAAACTTCATCTAAAACTAGGATTTTCAGATTTTTATTTTTTATTTTTGTGGGTACATACTAGATAAACTATTCCCTTATGGCTTGTATATTGGGATATCTGTTCATACAAGCATGCGTAATTTGATAAAGCCCTCATGTGATAAGTATATGTTCCTTAAATCATTATCAGTCTTACCTTATTAACCTCTTCAGTTACCCTCAATTGTCCTCTTATTACTTTAACCCCAATTCTTTTATTTGAAAACATCTCCTATTTCCATTTCTCATCTCTCTTTCTTTCTGTTCTTTCTCACTACCTCCCCCTAATCAACGAACACGCACTGGAACATTTCTAAATCTCTCTTAATCCCTTCCCTCTCATCTCCACCCCCTTGTTTTAATTTTTTAGCTCCCATAAATGACTAGAATAGCAAGGCACCCCCTACATTCCTTATGTATCACGTCCCCAATTCCATGTATTTATGTATTTTGGCACTGTTGGTTGGTCTTTTCTCTAAATGGCACTCCCGTGGACAGGCACCTACTTTAATACTCCATTTATCTGGCGATGAGCCGACTTCATTGACTCATATAGCAATCCTGGTCCCTCTAAGTATACAATATGGGAGTGAGATTGCTGCTTCAATTGTAAATATACACTAGAGTAGTTGCTTTGAAACTTACAAGGTAACTCTATTTAGTTTTTCCTCACCCCAACACTGTCCCACCCTGTAATCTACACATTCCACACCCCGTATTTCTTCCATGATCACACCAGCCCCTCCCCTTAACTTTGTCGTTGATGCTTTTATCTGACCTTCTGACTTGATCCATTCCCTACCTGAGATCACAGACCTAGTATAGACTTTCTATACGAGCAAAATGTTATTCCACTTTTCAATTGCTGAAATCCAACAATGATTTTGCCCCTATTGTGTATTGGATTACCTGTGTCCATTACAGAGTCCTTTCGCTCCTGTCTAGTTAAATTTGCCTATAGTTTGACCGCTTTCATATGTATTCACATGTTTGTTCGAGTCCAGGTATTGTTGTCTAGGAATTTTTAGATTCCTTCAAAATTTTCCAATTTACTATTATATAGTTGCTCTTAATAGCCATTCATGATCCTTTAAATTTCTGTAGTATCAGTTATAATGTCTCCTTTCTGTCTCTAATTTTAATTATTTGAGTCTTCTCTCTGTTAATCTGGCCAAAGTTCTGTTGATTTTGTTTATCTTTTCAAAAAACCAACTTTTTGTTTCATTCATTTTTTTGTATTGTTTTCTTGATTTCAATTTCATTTATTTCTGCTCTGATCGTTATTATTTCTTTTCTTTTACTAATTTTGATTTTGGTTGCTCTTGCTTTTCTGGTTCTTTAAGATTAACCATTCTGTAATGGTTGCCATTCTAACTGGTGTGAGGTGGTATCTCAATGTGGTTTTGATTTGCATTGCTTTAATAATCAGTGATGATGAGCATTTTTTCATATGTTTGTTGGCCTCATATATGTCTTCTTTTGAAAAGTGTCTGTTCATATTCTTCTCCCACTTTGGGATGGGTTTGTTTGTTTTTTTTTCTTGTAAATCTGTTACAAAATCTGGAGACAACAGATGCTGGAGAGGATGTGGAAAAATAGAAAAACTTTTACACTGTTGGTGGGAGTGTAAACTAGTTCAACCATTGTGGAAGACAGTGTGGAGCTTCTTCAAAGACCTAGACATGGAAATTCTATTTGACCCAGCAATCCCATTACTGGGTATATACCCTAAGGATTATAAATTATTCTATTATAAAGACATATGCATACATATGTTCATAGTGGTACTGTTTACAATAGCAAAGACCTGGAACCAACCCAAATGCCCTTTGACAAAAACAAGGAAAATGTGGCACATATACACCATAGAATACTATGCAGCCATAAAAAAGGATGAGTTCGTGTCCTTTGTAGGGACATGAATGAACCTGGAAATCATCATTCTGAGCAAACTGACACAAGAACAGAAAATCAAACACTGCATGTTCTCACTCAGAGGCAGATGTTGAAGAATGAGAACACATGGGCACAGGAAGGGAAGCATCACATACTGGGGTATGTCAGGAGGGGCCAAGGGGGGGACAGTGGGTTGGTGGTGGGGAGGTCAGGGAGGGATAACATGGGGAGAAATGCCAGATGTAGGTTATGGGGGGAGGGAGGCAGCAATCGAACATGCCATGTGTGTACCTATGCAACAATCCTGCATGAGCTGCACATGTACCCCAGAACCTAAAGTATAATAAAAAAATAAATAAAAAGATTAACCATTCTGTTGCTTGTTTGAAGATATTTTTTC